GAAGTACTTCCCTGGGATTTGTTTGAGAAGCATAAAATGCAGTTGAACACTCGTACTCTCCCTACAACATAAAGCATGTCTAGTTTCCGCGTTTACATATTTGTCGATATCCCAATGTAGTTGTCGGTATGCCGTTCCGTCAGCCTGAGTGTGTGGCTGTCCATTCTCAAAGTACCTCGAGGTGGTAAGGAGAGAGGAAAGGGTTGTGTCAAGGAAGCCAACAGGAGAAGCGAGCGCTGGCTTATGAAATTCTGTTACATTTCTAGGAGTTGCCAGAGTACTCCAAATGATTCTAATCATTAAAAGGTCGTGTAGCAATTTCAGTTCTTAGAGCTTTCTTGAAAAGGTCTACTATTGGGGAGATAGCTGTCCTAGAATTCGTTTGGCATCCGAAATGGTCGAGTCCGCAACCCCTCTGATTTGGTGGCGCAATAGTTCAGCTAACTGTAAAATATTCGCTTCAGTGGCATTAGCACAAAAGCGCGGTTCCGTGTTTACAGCAGCAGGTTTAAGTCGAACTCTCGTATTCTGCTCAATTGTACGAAAAATCAGAGCAAGATGGAGAGTTTCTGATCGCTAATAATTTTGCTTTTAAGCTGCGAAAATGGCGAGAAATGCATTTCTCGCAAATCCTTTCTTCGTTTTCTGCAAGTTCTCCAACGTGACCCACGACTGAACGAGGCTCGACATCCCAAAATGAGCGAAAGAGGGATGGACAATCTTCTGAAATCGCTCGGCTATCCAAAAGGTAAACACCATTATTCACCAGCTTCATTTGGTATTTTTAATTCGCATATTTCATATATATATTGGACGATTTTTCTCTCTGTAAGCAGTAAGAATAAATTTTTAAGGTGTCGACATATCCTTCCCAGTCTTCGTTCACTACCTGTGGAGCGATTTCTGCGCAGATTCTCTGAATATCACTCAAGAACAGGGTGAGTTTGCTACTCGTTGACCTAAAAATAGGAGGGGATGGGTGGAGTCTTTGAATGAGTCAGTCATTCGTAATATTCTTTGCCAGCAATTTCGCCAAACTCTTCGACTCAGTTCGTCCAAACTGCTTCACTAGTCAGCTGACCTAATGCTAGAATCAGCTACCTGCTACCTTAATATTTTGAGATATAAGATTTATCCATCTCGTACGGGCTAAGGTAGGCAGTGGAAAAACGTCTTACACCGAAGGCCACGATCCTTGAAACAAGTCCGGTGCAGTTTAGCGTGGACCAACCAAGCCTTCCGCTAGCTTGTTTAAATGGTGGTAGACTCTTTTGGAACGACGAACATTGACATATGGGCCATATAGGCTATTCGGCTAGCCTCCGAGGAGTGAGGGATAGGCCAAACTGCAATCAAATGCGACGGCAGATCGGATGAAGGCGGATCAGTGGCGCACCAAAGAAAAGGAAAAGTGTCAATTCTGTATTATTGATACTTTCTTCATGAAAAGCTTGTAAATTTCAGTTGACGAGCAGATGCATGAACCGCTTCCATGTTACTTCATCAATTCATCACACAATACGTACTGCATAGGTAAGACTGCACCTGATGGGCGCTAGAGCATCTTTTCTTCTCTACGCAAAAATTTTGCGTATCCGAGAGCTCCCACCCTATGATGAGATTTTCTTGAGCGTAATCAAAATTGCTAAACGGAATCGTTCACGGTGAAACTGTTCATTCTCTCCTCGCACAGTTGTGTTGCGTGGTCATAGAAAATCACGAGCAAAGTTCCGTGCTAAAAGAGTGAATTCTTGGATAGAAACAGCCCCAGGGAAAGCTCATCTACTTGAAGGTATCTGCCACCGGTTTTTGGGTTGAGCGAGGTGAACGGTCTTTGGAGAAGTGGAAAGGAAAAGAAAGAAAGAAAAAGAAATGGAGAAATGAGAAGTCGCTAATAGGGTTTTTTGAAGAATTTGGTGGAAGTTCTACAAAAGAAGCGTGAATTAGACAAAATCGGTGGATTTTCCGATTCATGATACCTCGATCGGTCGACTAGTCTCATGGTGAGAATCATATACTATAGAAAACACCAGAGATGGCTGAACGATGGATGGTTAGCGGTGATCGGAGGAGCGGGAGAGGGATTGGTATGGGGAAAGACCGGGCCTAAGAAGTGATGGCTCAGGTCGTGCTGAGTCGCACCGAGATGCTCCTAGGGGGGGGGGGGGGGGAAGGGTCACAAAATTTTTGAAAAAGTGCGAACGCGACGTTTGACCCTTACTGAAGTGCTGTTGTAACAGAGTGCATGGGCCACGTGAAAGTCTCAAATGTGTCTCCAACCTGAAAGCCGTTCAGGTCCACACTTCCAACACGTTTGCACTTGTTGCCCCCCCCCCACCCCAGACTTTGCTGACAGTATGACGGCAGGAATTATGAAATTAATACTATAGTTGATAGTGATAGGATTATTATTAAAATCCGATACGTCATACTACCATGTATTTTGAGACAGTATAACATACATGAAGAGAAGAGCAAAAAGGCAACAATTTTAAGAGAATGACACGAGTCTTTACATGACGATTCCTATTATGCTTGAAGAGCAAAGTGGAACCGTGGAGATAATATCGTCAATGAGCTTGTGATATATGTTATCACTAACAAAAGCTCCACATATTAGGTTCTGAGGATGGCGTGTGATTTGAATCAGGGTCAACCGTTACGTTGGACCGACATTGGACCGACGTTGGACCGACGTTGACCGCTCTCCGCGCCGGCATTCGCACTCGCCTTGCGCGAGCCGTCTGTGTCTCCGTGCGTACGTTCACTCTCGGCATTACTCTCACACGCTAGAGAGCCATGCGTTGGACTTTGTCCAACGGACGGTTGACCCTGTTCGAAATCCGAGATTGCAAAGCTGATAATTGTTGTCAAGTGAATAGCGGCATAGGCAGTAACGAAAAGTTCAGGTCTGCAAGTGAAAGGAGCGCAGCTGTTTCCATCTTCCAGCCATAGAGAGGCTCTTGCAGACGTCGAAATTTACAGACAGGTACACAAAGTAAAAACGGTTTTGAATGAGAGCGGTTATTAATTCTTTCTAGGTTCTTCTATCAGGTTGCCGATGCATTGATATGGCAAATTCAGACATGGGATGGCTCCGATGGACCAGTGGTTACACATGGACCAGCGGCCGTTATGCGAATGAATGAAATCCCACTTAAGGTGAATTCTAATAAGAAATCCATACTATTTATGGTTAGATACTTATCCGCTGCGCGCTTCGCAGGAAGTATGTATATGCCCCTGCGGTCTGACAGGGAAACACCGGCACCTCTGGCAAGCCCCTTCTCTCCGTCTGGCTCTAGCCGTTAGGCAGAGGAAGGAGAGGAAGCGTTCGTTTTGCAGACGGCAGCACTGATGAGAGCCACATCAGTGCGGAAATCAACGAGCATGAAGGGGTTACGTAATTATTACGTCACGTCTGTCCTATATCATCAACGAGTGCTTTTTTCCCCTGACATGTGGGATAAGTACGGTGTCTTTTAATGTATTCAAACTTCTCCCTTTATTAGAATCAATTTTTATCTCGAACTTAATCAATGCTGAACGTGTGACGCTAAACAGCTCAGCCGCTCTCTATTCTTGGGGTTCTGTCCTTACAGACTATGAACGTTCCTTCTCTGGATCTAACGGCGAAGGCTGCGCTGTGCCAGAGTCAATAGGCGCAATCGACCTATTTCGAAAATCAAGAATTTTTTACAACTCGTGACAGGAGGGTCCCTAGGCCCTACGGCCTCCTTTGTGCCTCAGCTGTTTCTGTAGTGATTGATTGAGACCAGTCGATACACTCCAAGCTCCGCGCCCAACTAGAACTCCCAGAATAACAGCAGTGCGAACAGGTTGATGGTAGTCAAGCAAAAACGGCATAAAGCCCTAATTATGTTGCCCTCTTCATGCTTCTTTTTCTATGCTTTTTCCGAAGAAAAGGGATCTCTGGCGCTTTCCACAACCACTTACAAGAAAAGAAATCCCCGTCTTCCACAACCTTCTACAAGCAAAAGAAACCGCCTCTCCACAACCCACATATCTCCCAGATCAAAATACGTATTACAAAGTACGAGCGATTCTGGACCGACGCGGAATCACGGGAAGGGTGTTTGTGCTCCCTGTGCTCGCAGTGCGTACCTTGACGCGGCAAGAATCAGGACTATGAGTTCCTTCTCAAGTGTGAAGTAGGGAGTGGAAGAGGTTGATCGCCACTGCAAGAAAGAAAGAAAGAGCTTTCATCAGATGCACAGGAATACACGCAGTATTTGCTCAGTGCTGTGGAGAAGTTCAAAAGACAGGGAGGGAGATGAGAGATAATGTGAGCGCAGAGGGTAGAGAATTCCGAGAAGAGAGAGCATAGCAGATCAACGCAGCAACGCAGACAAGACATCGATCGGTGGGCGGACCATGTTATGTTTGGTGGAGTCTGTTAGAAGTTCATGGCGCCTAGGGTCCTGGTGACGGGTTTCGATGTAGAAGGGTGGCGCTAACTTTGCACTTGGGTGCCCACACTTCCAGCCATGGTAGTGGCTTCTTAGGTGGGCCTGAGCCCGATTTTTGCCTTTAATACGTTGACAACAAGGCGTGTCGTGGTTTTTTGGCCGCGTGAGACCTGGGCGATTTTGCGGCGCGGTCGCCTCAGGTAATTCAAGCGGATCTCGAGTGGTAAAAAATAAAACATAAGAATGGTGCAAGAATAGGTTAGCAGTTCTCAATTCATAGAAACTATGGATGGGTACAGTAGCGGAACTACGATCAAAAGACGTGAGATGCAAAAAAAGTTAAAATTTGAGAGCCCTATATGTAATGGCCCTCAAAAACAATTTACCCTTGTTGTTTCAATCGAAAAACATGTACTGACATCAATTAGGCTCCATATTTGCTTCTACAATTCTTTAGATCCTCTCATTCATGAAGAGAAAAAGAAATCGAAAGAATATTACACTGAAGATTTTGCAGGGTTTTCAGATTTGCTCCTCAAAATAAAGGCATACCTGACCATTCCGCTGGCCAATATGCTTGTAGCTACGTATGCTAGGATTTCCTCCATGGAACAAAATCAAGGGACTTTGAAATGGATCGCGAGCGTGCGGAAAAAATGAACGCTATGAGTGCGGGACAGATACGTCCCGCGCTGTCCGTAATGGCCTGCAAAGTGCGGCACTTATGTGTCCTGCACTGCAGTCAACGTATTAACCAAAATTTCTCACATGCTTCTTCCATTTTCCTACACTGAGGTCTAGGAAACCTCTGAATATTTGTGATGGAGGTCTGATAGATTTGATAAGAAAAGTGTTGTAGTCGTATATACGTTTTGCATTGGACATTCAACCCTTTCCAGATCGTCTTGTATGGCTATGCGGACGATTGTGTGCGTTTCAAGGTATCGCCTTATCCTGTCCTTTTATCTATCGAAAACCACTTGTGCCAGCAGCAACAGAAGCTAATGGTACAAATATTCCGAGAGACTTTCGGCTCCAAATTGCTAGTCGATGCTCTGGAAACCCATCCGGTTCGCTCACTTCGTTCTAGCAAGTATAATACATTAGAGTTTCATTTTGTAAGTATTATTGTCGAAACGTTATTCAGGATATAGTTATTACGCTCGTCGAGGACCAGTCTCTACCATCACCGTATGCTCTTCGATATAAAATAATCATCAAAGCGAAAAAATCGAAGCCAAAGATTCAGCCGAAAAGTGAGTCTTCAGAAAATATGTGATATTGATCCCGAATCATGTCGCTGTTTAATGTTTATGAGTTCAATCGGTCCATAACATGGAACGTGGTGCGTTCGGAATGGCCTGTTAGGGATTAAAGGTGATTTTGTTGTTGAATGCAAAGTTAAGGCTAAGTTTCCAGCTAGAATCACCTGGTTCCCTAGGGAGCCCTTCTGCATGTTAAAAAAATGGGAGCGGCTACAGAAAAGTAGCGACTGCCATTACTACTCACTACTTCTACATTTGTGACAAACACTATTTAGTCGAATTCATGTCACAAGAACAACGGGAAGAAGTATCCAGAAATGGTATAGATAGGAAAATGGAAATTCTCATGAGTACTCAATACCAAAAATCGGTAAAAGAAGGTCTCCTTTAATGGCTACTTCTACACGCCTGATTATGTGTGATTGAAATCGCAGAATGGCTAGTAGATGACCTCGTAGGCTGATTGCATGCTTTTTAGGTGTGCTGGTGTGGAAGAAGCCCTCTTTAGCAGTACAGTTAGGCAGTTTTCATAGTTTTATTATAGCAAGAAAATTTTAAATTATAGCTCTGCCTATGAAACTTTTTGAGAGCTTCAAGTAATACGACCCCGAGAAAGTCAACATCCCCCTCTCCCGTTAGTTCTTTCCTTGCCCTTTTCGCAATTTTAAGTTCCCTAGTCTCACCTGTGAGATTTACCCGATTGTCTTATATAGCTTACGACAGAAAGAAAACAGATTTCATCGATAATTGACAACAAGCAAAAGAGTATCTTCGAGGATAAGAAAAAATGGGTGGGGGTTCCGGCTCCGGCAGGAGCTATCCGTATCCGAAGCGATGACTGTTGAGTGGCGCTCCTTTTATACCGGTTTTCGGGCCCTCTTAATGTCTGGAGTATCTTCGCCCGCGCGCCTCCCGCGCGATACACTCCTCCTTGATCTACAATCAATCAACGTTATCAACGTTATCGGTGAACCAATGACTTCTGATCCGTGCAATTTGTTGGATCAGTGCGTGATGCGTCCGCATAATTGGTAATCAATTACATGAGCGCACTGCCAATACATTATGGTAGATTTAGCAATTAAAAAGGTGGAATTACTTTGCACTGATCGTTTCCTCCTCAACTGGTGAACTTCGGGACTTACTCGTCCCGACGACGTCTGCAGACAGCGTAGCCCGGCGCAGATGAAACCACATTAAACACAGCGATCAGAGCAGCCGTTTTTCCTATAATTCATACGTGATGTCTCTTGTATGGACGCTTCCTTTTTCTGTATCAGTAGGGATAGAAAAAATGAACACGGTTCAAGCTAATGCTAGTGGTATCGGCACGCCGATTTTTTGAATACGGGCCCATTGGGTGGAACGAATGGTGAGAGTAAGAGCCCAAGCCACAGCGATCCACTCTATAATCAGTTCTAAATCCCTTACATCTCTTTCCCGGTAGAATAGAAAAATCCTTACTCGATACCACTAAAATCTTCACGAACTCTCACCCCAAAACATTCGAAGGTTCTTCGTTTCTCTCGATTTCGTTACCCTCGCAAGTCACATAGACCAGTCCATAGGGACATAAGTGCTCATCAAAACCTGCAAGAGCAAATACAGTGAAAGAAAGAAAATGATGGAGTTCCTCCCACTCAATCTGACGCAAAGTGTCACAGCGCTAAATATCAACGAGTGCGTAATTCGTACTTCATTAGGACTCGAAAATTAACAGTCATGACAAGTGGTTCACAGAAATGCAAACCGCACGAGGAAACACGCTCGAAGCAGATCTTGAAGTATGATGTAAAGAACGTAAAAGATGACCGAATTCTCATGCAGTAACATTCAGCTACGGCAACACCCGTATCAAAAAAATGTAGAGATCATAGTACAATAGAGAAAAACAGAGAAGACAGGGTGGGAGGAAAGACCAGTGATGAAGGATTCCTTCACAGTTCGAGAACTACCGAAGATTAAAATTAGACAATAGACTTGATGCCAAAGGGAAGAATAACCCCTGCAAAATAGCGAGTACATAATATCGAAGGAAAAGGGCCAAAGCAAAACGGTAAGGAACGATTCTCAGAAGCTAACCAAAAACAAACCGACCAAACAGCTGATCAGATCCAAATCACCCTACGACACCCCACGCTACACTTGCACGATACGTTGCCGTGCTCGGCGTGCTATGCGGCACATGCGATGGTGGGCGGTCCTGGATTGACCAGGCGGCCCTGGATTGAAACCGACGGCCCCGGGGGCTTAACGACGTTTTTCAAGGTGGGAAGTTGCTGCAATGTGTGCAGCTACCCACATACAGGAATTACTTCTCTAGCGTGCCTGAGCCCGACCTTTACCTTTAAGATTGGCTCCCATTGTAAAAGGAAACCGGTGCATGATCGCCCGTGTCGACCTCCATTTTTATCCCCTTCGCAGCAGGTAGCTCCTGGTCGCATACGGCGAACGCGTTGCCGTTTCGCGTCCAATTTTTCTTATATCCTCGGGAATAGTTTTGGAGGATATGTTTTGGGAGATTCTGCTCATATAACTTCTGTCTTCTGGCGTTTTCTCCTAGCTTGGGAGTTAGCTCTCCCAGCATCACTGGCCTCAATTCGTCCCATGTATCCTTCCATTTCTCCGTGCTCCACTGGCCAATCTCGTCCCCTTCTTCTGAACAGTATAGGTTCCTCTTTCTCATTGATTGACTGGGATTGTGCACTCACCGTTCCTTATCTTGAACACACCTGCTGCTATCCTGTTCGATACGGGCCATACCACGCGCTCTACAGCATCTTCTCCAATGTCACAGCGTCCCTTGAGCTAGCGCATGGCCGAACGGTGGTACACACGTCCATCTTGTTACGGTCACTATTCCCGCTCCATCCTTTCCTTTGCTTCCATGCTTGGCTTCGGTATTTGAGTTAAACGTCTAAGCTATTCACGCATTTTCCGAGGAAAATTTGTAACCCATCTCCAATCCATATGTAGAACGCGATTTCCGCATCTGCTCTGCCCTCGATCCTCACGGTTCTTTCCCGTTTATGGGTCGTGAACGCTTTTGCTTTATCTTGTTAACAATCGCTCTTTTCAGTGGACACTTGCGGGCAATATGTCCTTCTTTTGTGCAGCTAAAGCACTTGCGAGCTTCTAAGCTTTCGTTCTTTTTGTTAAAAAGGCCACCGTGGTGCTTCTAAATCTTGTTACTCTGGTGGCTTTGTCCTATCACTTTCTAAGTGGCCTTCGTATACGGACACTCGTCTTTTCCAATCGTCCCGTGTGAACAGTCCTCAGTGGAGACCCATACATTGTCCGAGACTGTTCTATGGTGATCGTTAATAGTTTACTCTCATTGTATGCTCTCCCTGAATCACATCTATGAAGTAGGCTGAGCAACTGCAAGTACTCTGGCCACTCCCTCAAGTTTTCCAGTTAAGATTTGTGCATATTCCAAGGATCTTTCGGAAATGCTACTCGTGGGGTGTACTTTGCGAGCCAGTTTTTCCCGACACCGCAGAATTCTGAGATAGGGTCCGAGCTTCAAAATTCTCAACTCGTTCAAGGCTCTCATCCTGGCAGCCCTTGAGTCACTGGATAGTACCCTATCAATTTGACTGCTGCCTTGAATCCCTCCCTACTACTTGAACACATTTTTAGCTCTCTCATCTTGGTGGTCATCGCCGATATTTCTAACAGTACCCTATTTACATACCCTTGAGGCTCATATTTCCTCCGAAATCGGCGCACAAATTCTTTGAAATTTCCTTTCGCCTTACCCCGAAATTGTTGAGGGTCGCTCGTAAAGTGCTGCAGTCTGTGTCTTCACGCGAGTCGGTTCTACAGCTCGACCTGTCTTCTGTAATAGATGATCATTAGTCTGCAGTATCTGATGAGGACTATAAGATGCAGTGCTGATTCGCCTACCTTTTATAGGCTCTCCAGATGTCTCGTCCTGCGGCCCTTCCTTCTGTAACTTGCTTCTGGAGCGCTTGTATTTCTTCAGTGATGTCTCGCACCTGTAAGACATCCGTATTTAACATGCTGCAAATCTCTGCAAGCAGTTCCCCGTCCCTCTCTACTATACTCATGAAGTCACTCCAGTCATCTGCTGATTCAATCCCTTTTTCCTGTAGAGACTCAAGTTATCTCTTTTCCAGAAGTCATGTATGTTTCCGCCCCTTTCTTCAAGTTATTTAGGGTCTCGTACGCGCTGTCGGTTCTGTCTACTATTGATTTTTCATGAGTGCTCTGTACTAGTGCAATGTGCGCGCCGAACATGCCCTCATCAATTTTTGAACTTGTTTTTTATCGATTCGATCACCCAATCGATTTCATCTGTTAGGGCTACTGCAAGACTCTTTCAACAAAGCAACTCAAAATGTTGCTAACCTCACTGCCTTGCCTGTTTTCCTCATCTTGAGGCAGTTGTCCTTGCGCTCCAATTGGTGCCTTGGCTATATTTTGCGACCCATCCATTTACCTGCGATGATAAGATTTCTTAGTTTCCTGTTCTTGCTCTTCGCTGGCAAATAACACGACGTTTTTACAGAATCTCTTATCAAGTCCTTCTCTGCCTTGCTCTCTATTCGGCAGCTAACAAAAAACCAATTTCTTTTTAGACTCGATCGTTTCTTCGATTACATAAAGTGACCCACCTTGGTCTTGCCGCCATGGGATTTCCGATTGTCTTATACAGTTCTCGACAAAAAGAAATAAATTTTATCGATTAATGACAACAGACAAACAACAAGTATCTTCGGAGATAACAAAGAAAGGGGTGGTTCCGGCAGGAGCCGGCGCGTAGCTGTATTCGAAGCGAACTGTCTAGAGTATCTTCTCCCGCGCCTCCCCCGCAATACACCCCTCCTCGATCTACGATCAACCTCCTTCCAATCCCCTCACACACCATCATTCTCGCCTTTTGACGTTCCCCGAGTGTTACCAACTTCTCACTGAAGAATACTGCTCCTTATTTCAGATCAGCTTCCTGAAGAGCCATCCGGTAGTCTCGCATCCGAACACTCTTTTGACAGTCTGTCCCAAACGTATCCTGATCGCAAGCTGAGCATTCCTCTACAGAATGCGGTAATAACACTCTTCTGACCTTCGTTATGATTTTACTTGTTCTCCAAATGACGATGACGTAAAGGTGTAATGGTAATTTGATTTCCATCAGAAATTCTGTTGTTTATGATTGACAGTAGCAATGGCGACCTCACAAGAAGTCATGGGGGTTGCTTCACAGTATTCAACAAGGTAAATGGTCAATTCGCGCATTCTTAAAACTTTTGTGAACATGCGTCACGCATTAGCTAAGGGCTCAGCTAGATTCATTCCAGTAAAGCCATCACACCTCCCGTCATCGCCATCGGACCTCATTCTCCTCGATGACGATACGCTAATATCACGCACCTCATACATGCCAAAGTATTCATACAAAAGCTGAAACGGTAAAAAATTCTAAAATCTGATAATAGTTTCCCGCTTCCCAAAAAACTACAGGAGAGGATGGTAGGACGGATTGAGTGTTGGAGTTGAGGGATATATCACCTGATTTTTCTTTGGACGCTGACGATGATCTGTCTGTTTTAACGACACTACGAACAAAACTACGAAAGCTTTTGCACTAGATGTGGTACCTTCAAGGTCCTTGGTTACGTCCAGGGAGAGTCCACAAAGAAGTATATGGGTCGAGTGGGTTATTGCTTGCCATGCGAGCTTACGCACTAACTATCCGAGGGAGCACTGGAAAAGGGTTCTTTTATCGCCATAGTGTGATCTTTAAAACATAATTTGCTGGATGGTATACCTATGTAGATGACTGATTCAGAGTGAGCTAGCGCTGCTGGCTGAAGAAGTGGTAGAGCGGCAGCTGTGTCCGGAGAAGGAAGAGCACTCGACGAGCGATCTCTCAAGAATTGTCAATTATCTCACTGCCGATAAAGTACCACACATATGGAATGGTATGTACCCTTTTTCTACTATATTGGACCAAAATACCTACACTGACGAGATTAACTATTTATCTCTTAATAATGGAAAAGAACTATTGTCGCTAGATCTCTGGCCGGTGACCCCGACCATAAGACAAGGAGAAGATCGGCTAGCCATAGCAACCTTAGAGCGAGGAACGAAAAGGGTGTGTGCTAGCTTTGAGTTCATGCACCACCATTTTCGCTGTCTAAGATATGCTAGTTGCAGCGCACTGAGCGCCAGACTTTGTGAGCTTCCGCTTCCGCCTATGCCCAGCCTGTCACTGTTTTGCCACCAGTATCGAGCTCGAGTATCATTTTGAGAAGGTATTTCACTTCGTGCGCGTATCCTGTGAGTTTTCTGTGAAATGTATTATTAGTCGAAAGATTACTTTGTTGTCAGGGTGGTAAATATCGGGTTCGTACCTGCTAACGATCTCTTTCGGTTGCTGGCTCATATTATCGGATCTCAGCAGGCAAAAATAGGATCCCATTTCGCGTGTTTTTGCTTTTTTCCTCTAATAGTGGATTATCCCTACTCCGACTATGGTCCCAAATAATTTCATATATTCTCGTTTTGAAGGCAATCCGCTTCCAAATAAGTAAGAGTTATAGCACCCAAAAAAACCCGTGTTATTCCGGCGTTTTGCAAATCGTACAGAACTGATTTTGCCTGCTGTCTCTCACCTCAAATAATCTGGGAGGGGGGGGCTCTTACGTACGAATCAATGTATGTAAAGTCTCAAAAGTGTATCGCTAACCGGGTTCTGAGCCGAGGTCCCGACAGTGTTAAATGTCAGCTCGCTCATCATTCTTTCAAAGGTCAATCACGACCGTAAAGAAATCGAGTCGGGAATACAGAAGTCTGATTAACCTTAAGGGGGAGAAAAAGGTTGATGAATACGAGGCCTGATACACTCGAACCGGGTTAGCATTGAAAAAAGAAGAGACAACCAGCAAACAAACTTTAGGCAAACCTTGGAGATAGTCCCTATTGCCGAGGCAGTGGTGCTACGTGCATGTAAAGGCACTTGTTCGACTTCAATACGATCGTCATGCGCTGGCGTGAAAGTGCTTGCAAAGGTTATTTAAAGTTTGCCGTCCTTTAGCTGTCATAAGAAAACCAGTTGAATGCAGTCGGAAATGCAGCAGCGGAATAGGATTAACAGAATAGAGTCAGCGGAAAAAAATGTCACACAAATGTGTGAGAGAATGAACGATTAAAACATATGTACGAAATAAAGGAATGTCTGGAACCGAGCTGTTATCCTTTGCAAGAGAAAGCGGCGACATGTTTAACACCAGTAATAAAAGAATGGAAGAAATCGTTGACTAGAACGAAAGTAAGGTCCACCTTCAGCGGCGGCTAAGCGAAAGCATTGATTTGCGATCGAGCTCAGTGCTACTTTTTGGGGGCGATGCTGCATCTAGGAGCATTAACTCCTCGGCCTTGTCAGGTCATACCGAAAGTGCTTTCCGCTTGCGTACCGCTACAATTTTTTTGGGAGAGACTTAATTTCGACCAGAAATCTCAGAAATTGCCATTAACTGATAACTGACTAATTACTAACTAATTAACTCTGGTTCAAACTAGGGGATTGGTATCGATAATGCTACAGTCTTTTTTAGTTGAACGGCGATTTTTCCTCATGTGTTCAATGAGCGAGGATGCATCGATCAAGATATACAAAGATTCTACGCAGCGGCAGGCCAATAATCTCATCAAACATACCTCGAAGAGGTTGGTCCGTGTGTTTCCAGCAAACATGCGCATCACCTCGGATAACTTTCTTCCCAATGTGAGTGCAGGTTCTGCTGGAATTGATTAAGCAAAAATAATGACACCAAGTTTACACGGGAATCATCTGCCGATGTGCTATGGAAACAGTACGAAACGTAATTTCAGGTTGTCCCATAATTAGTTATCAATTTGCACCGATTGCTGTGAAAGTTTATAGAAAAGCGACGAAGGCCTTAATCATTTCTCGCGGTGTAGCGTCTAAATTGGTGCGCTGAAACGATTAGCCAGACTACAGACAACTTAGAGGGGTGAGTATAGAGAGGAACGAGACGCAGGCACCACGTCGCGTAGACTCCTGCATTATGTGAGACAGAAGGGCGACCTAACAACGAAAATTATGATTATGATTAATGAAAACTTGTCCCATATCTTTCGGCAGCTTGAATAGCACATTCAGCTCTGTAAATAAAACCATTTCGCTCATGTCGGGAAAGTCCACCTGGATTAATTGTTGTGGCGTCGTTGCCGCGCGTTTCGTGCCATGAGGTCGACCAAAGCTTTGGTTTGAGGACAGACTTACCTTGACGGCAAAGAGAATTGTTGTTAGCTGATCACGAAATTCGTTTCGAAGCTTCCATAACGGCATTGCAGAGCATCCCCATCAGCTAGCATTGGAGGCAATGCTTTGGCCTCCCGCCAAAATTTGACGTTTGCAAAGGTTTTGCTGTTTATCCTTTAGCCTGGTTGAAAATTTCGCAACTTACAGTACCCACAACTTCGTTCTTTCTATGGCGAACTTCCTTCTATTCTGAAGACTTATTTTCACCCTTCAGATCCATTGGATGATGGGCGTTCAAATGGTAGCGCTGAATTTTCAAACCAACTGCACAGAGATGCTTATGAATCATGCGATGTTTGAGCAGGCTGCTAACTGTGGGTGAGCTGTTACCCTTCAGGATGACTTTGAGTGATGCGTTCTCTTCAAAATTTCAGTTGGGGTTTCTTTTAGGTAGAGCATCATTATGTTAAGTTCAATCCTGTGACAATCATCAATTAATATTCGTTACTGAGCTGGGGTAATGCCCCAGACTGTGTCAGAGCAAAGCTCACGATGAAATTAATATGCTACTAGAAGAAATCTAGAATCATCCACTAGAAGATGAAGAGAGAATCACGAAGTGAACTGTTAGTGAAGAAAAAAGAAGAATTCTATTCTCAAAATGTAGCGCCATTACCTAACAACTTTGTCTCTCGTGGACCGCTCTACCTTTCTTGGACAGTTGCTTCACTGAAGTGACCTTTTTGTGCAGTTTGATTTATAACACATTGGCGACAAGGCCACCTGATGCCTCTAGGTTTGTTTATTAAATAGATTCTCTAATAATTAGTATCGTTTTCTCCTAGGAGCCAATTTTTCCTCTAAGCTCTCAATTTTTTATATGATTTCATTCGAAAGAGAATTTATTGCACTACAGACTGTTATGTTTACATTTTTTCATAGCATGTGAAGTTAAGGAATTAGTCTCCATAGTGAGAGGAACCGTCGACAAAAATTAGATAAACTACAAATTGCACTATTTCTATGCTCTAGAAGAGTTCGTTGCACTGCTCACCATTTTTTTGACTAAGACTTCTTCTGAGGATTCCGCTACTGAGTTGCTCAGCAAGTCGTGTCGCTTTCTTTCCAATGTTGCTTCTCCCATCAGAACTCAATGGATGACTGCTACTTCGTCGAATCTGGGCCGAAAATTTTTACCGTAAACACATTGAAAAACTAGTAAAACGTTAATGAGGAGTCTAAAACTGCGGGAGACATCGCTGGCTGATTCCTGTGTATTTTTGATAGGAAATATAATATATTCGAAAGGATGGGGTAAATCTCGTCGACAGGCAACGTGCACCTAAATACTCCGCCCAATTCGTAACGGAAACAAAAGCAAACTAATCCACTCGTCTCGTTGGACATCATAATACAGTGCGTTTCAAAAGTATGTGCACACCCTCAAAATTCACGTTTGAAAGGGAACCATGAGGTTTCGTGCTATGAAATCCTTCTCAATCGATTTCTCGTAGTCGATAACCTATCAATGGAAGCAAAGCAGATAATATCGCCTTCACTTTCGAAAAAAAATTTTGGATGAAATTTTTTTCTTTGTTTCAAAAGTATGTGCACACTTAACAAAAGACAAAAACATAGCTGAGATTAGAAATCAGTGGGGCCTCCAGAGTTTCTAATTAGCTCAAACATCCTGTCCGGCATAATCTGAACCACGTTTGGCATAGCTGTTTCGTCGCTGTCGGCCCAAATAGCCTCTACCGCCGCCTTCAGTTCATCCGCGGTATTATACTGCCGGTTGCTAAAGTTAACGCCTTGATCAAGGGCTCCCTATAGGGTTGCAGTAAGGAGGACACACAAGCCAATCTATCGCTTCAGCACCATTTGGTTAAGGCCATTCTTTGGTAGATTGCGAAGCATCGAAAGACACGTGGTCCTGTTGCTAAAAATGCTATCTACAGTTGAAATTTGTGTCACGTAATCAAATGGCTATACCTTTCTTCAAAGTAGGCGGATTTTCAATCTAATAGCATTTGGAGGTCTTTTGAAGTACCCTAAAATCCCATAGATAAGAGCGGTTTAATTTACCGGTGAAAAATGAATTGGAATGAAATTGAAATTGAATGCAGTCACCCCTCTAACTTGATGGATGGATAAATAAAAATCGGAGAAGAAGTTTAGAAGAAGCTCCGTCCCTCAACTCTAAACCCCGCCCACTTAATAAACAATTCATATAGAAAAATAGCGATTTTAACGGAATTTCTGCCGGAATCTCTCTAGAAATGCCGGAATTTGATCTCTGGATAGAACTTGAAGAGCCCATTCGATCAGTAAAATTCCATAGATAAGAGCGGTTTAATTTACCGGTAAAAAATGATTTTGAAAAAATATTTTTATTTTTATTTTATTTTTGAAAAAATATCTATGGACCGCTCTTATCTATGGGATTTTAGGGTACATCTTTCAAATGGGCGGAAGTGGTGTAGTGGCAAGTGGCACGCTTACCACGCGAGCGGTCCGGGGATCAAATCCTGGTCGTGGCCAACCAAGCCTTCCATCCCTCCGGGGTCGGTTAATTGGTACCAGACTTGTCTGGGAGGATAAAAACACTGACTTGTACATCGGCTGGCCCCGCAAGTCATTGTATAGGCCACATCGCATTCAAACGCCACTACGAATGTACAAATGGAAGTAGAATGCGTGCCGCATCCCAAAAAGGGATTGATCAACGGCAAATGCTTTATCCTTTTATCCTTCTTTCAACAGTGTTGAAATTAAAATTAATAATAAAACAGAATTGGGTTAATGAAAGAGGAAAAATCATGATAAGTGCGAGTTTTTACACTTTCTGAAGCCAAAGTTTAAAAAGGACTTCATATGTCTCGGGAGCGATCTAGCCGCCGACGGCAGTGTGGATCAAGCAGTAAAAGCACGGGTTAACGCGGCATGGATGAAATGGAGGGAGTCCACTGGAATCTTCTGCTATCAAAGGTGCTCCAGGCAGGGTCGGTCCTATCGTTGTTACTTTTCGAAAAATTTTTACGACCCCCCTCCCCCAAGGTGGATTTGATACGACCCCCTTTTCTCGACACCTCGACCACCATATTCCTCTCTATAGTATTTAATTCTGGTACCACTCAACCCACCAAACTCCGCCCACTTTTTCCTCCAAAATTGCGTACGCAACGGCGAATTTCTCTCCCATGCGCTCCCAACTCACCTAGCCTACTACTCGTGAAAACTCCACTTTCACCACAAACTCACATGTACTTTCACGCGACTGAAGCGGATACGCCCCCCTCCTATAAACTCAACCAGGTACGACCCCCCCCCGTTGTTACTAGTAACAACGTAGGGTTGACCCTGGCTCGGTTCAGTCCGCTGAGATTAGAATGCTCACCTGCGGCTGGACAGGGTCAGAAACGAGTATGTGAGAGCAGGCATGCCCCTGTCCAGCTGAAGGTGAGAAAGCAGCGACTGCGATGGTATGGGCATGTGCTAAGGAGGCCACAGGATCATCCGATAAGATGGACTTCGAAGTGCAAGGCAAGCGACCGCGAGGAGCCCCAAAGAAGAGGTGGAGAGACGTGATCAAGAAGGACCTAAGTGAAGTCATGGCCACAGCAGAAGATGCCCTGGACAGAGCAAAGTGGCGACGACTGACAAAGACAGCGGACCCTGCGACTGCGCGGGACTAACGCTAGGGAGAAGAAGAAGGAGAAAGAGGAAGAAGAGTCGGGCAAAACCTGGCGCCATCGCCAAAAGCTGTCACATTGATGAGGACCCTCGAT